GCCCCGCCCCCCCCCGCCGAGCGTGGTCATTTGCATATCGCTGCGTCTCAGCCAATGGGAGAGGCCCGTGGAGCGCCCCGCCCCGCGCAGGCAGCGCCGCGCTGCGCGCCCCTCCGCGCCCCTCCGCGCTGCCCGGCCCGCGGGAAATGCGGGAACTGTCGGGTTTATTTGGGGCAGGTTTTAAACGTGTGATGATCTTAGGAAGTGGTAAAAGTCCGCCCCGATTGGTAGTGATGTGTGAACATCCATTCAGAACATCATAAATGACGCCAGAAGACGCAAATTAAATCTCACGTCCAAATTATAACTCACTCTCGGGTGTTTAGAGAATTACCCGTTAGATAAATACACAGAGCGGAGCCCCGGCCCCCTTAAATTCTTCCCTTCCTCATTTCCCGCAGGCAGCGGCCGGGAGGCGAGAGGGGGATGGAACCTGCTTATTTTAGGCCTCAGGGGCTTGTCCAGCACTTTATCTTGAGTATTTGCCCCTTGCAGCCATCCCTGGAGGATTCCTACCTCCCAGATTACTGAAGCTCCGACAAATAGAGGAAAAATTGGTAGTTACATGGAGGCAGGATTGAGGTCTTGACACTTCCTGAGCTGTCTCTTGACATGTAAGCAGAACTGCTAATTGCAAAGCTGACCTCTTCCAGCCTCCATCTTACTCATCCCATCTTCCTTCTCCCCTCTGTTCTCCTTTCCTTTGTCTGTTCCCCTCTCTCTCCCCCTCTATCACTGCATATTTATCTATCTGGCTGTTTCTCTGTTCGTTACCCTTCCCTCCCCCCGCCCTCCCTGACATTTGGGCGGGGAAGGGACACAAAAAAAAATTTAAAAATCAAAGAAAATATTCAGCCCTTCTACAACCCGCTGGGATTTAAGAGTGAAACTGTTTCAGGTTATTTTCGTATGTGTAGGGCAAATACGAGCGGATAAAGAAGGCAAAAAAATTGATTCTTGTTGTTCAGGAAAGAATAATCTGTTTCGAACCGTTTGTGATTAGAAGCGCGGCAGCCGCGGGGGGGGCGGCCGCGGGAGAGACGCGCCAAAGAAACGTTTCAGGGAACGGGCAAGCGGGATGTACGGGAGCCAGGAAGCCCCTCTGGAGCTGCTGCTCTCACCCCCCTGAGACCCCCCTGTGGCTGCTTCCCCAGCGGGTTTCCCGAACTCCTCCCGTGGCGACGGGAGCCGGGCGCGGGCAGCGGGGCCGTGGCGGAGCCGGGCTCAGCCGGGGGTGGCCCGTCCCTTCAGAGCGGCTGGATATTTGTCTGACACCTGCCTGGTATTTTTCGTAGCTGCACCTCTTTCCGACCCCCTCCTCTTTTTCTTTCTCCCTCCCGACGTGAATCCCGGCTCAGATGAAGCCTCGGGAAGCCGGCGAGAAATGCTCGCCAAATTAACTGTAAAGAAATCGATACAGTAATCAGAGCGTTTTTCACATTAAATATGAAATCTGATGAAGGCCGTTTGCACCTCTCGCCCCGCCGGCCGCCCCAGCGCGCGCCTGGGAGGGTCGATGCCGCCCCGGCCCCTATTGCCTCATTAGGGCCTGTTTAATGTTTACCCGGCGGGGACTTTGCATAAACGCATTTGCATCGGGGGGGCGGAGGGCATCGACCGGGGCTTTCACCGCCGGCACCCCGAGGGGCCCGGCCCCTCCCCGCCCTGCGGGCCGCCCAAACGCCGCGGGGACGGGCGCGGACCCGGTTCCGTGAGCCGC